GATGTGAGTGGTTATCCGACCATCAAGATTCTGAAGAAGGGCCAGGCTGTGGACTATGATGGCTCCCGGACCCACGAAGGTGAGCTAGTACTAAGCACAGTGAGGGGAGCAGACACTTGGGTGGTCACAAGGGAGGAAGGGCAAGTGTCCTGGGACTGGCTCCCCCAGGAGCACCAGCCTGCTGGAGTGTTTGGGGTAAGTGAGGTTGGTGGGAGAGGTGTTTTCACATTCCAAATCATGGCAGCCAAGATCTGGAGCAGGAACATTAGAAATGACACCAGAGGCCCCAATCCCAGTGGTGTTTCAGAGCAGTGTCCTTGGTATGTAGCATGCGTCTGGAGGGCTGGCTCAGACAGGTGGCTGGCCCCAGCCTGAGTTTCTGATTTGGTAAGGCCCAAGGTAGGCCAAGTAACTGGCACTTCTCAGGAGTGTCCAGGGAGGGCTTCACAGGCTGTGGTGCAAAGCCATGCACAGAGAGTGCAGTTCCAGGAGTCTCCAACAGCATCTGCATTCAGACCTGTTGGGTACCTGCTTGCTCACATGAGGCACTACAGAAGTTTTATGAAATGAATAAACAGATGAAAAATGTGGTTTCCTTAGCAGGGGCATACTACTTTTTTTCTTTTTTTTTTTTTTTGTGATGGTGGTAGTACTAGGAACTGAACACAGAAACTGAACCCAGAAACATCCTTCCTCTGAGTTACATCCTTAGCCCTTTTCAGCCAAATTGTTGTGATTACGTTTGTGCCACCGTACCCAGTGGCATATCTCTCTTGTAATCAGTTTTCTAAAACGGTATGCTGCTGCATTTTCCATTCTGCATGTAGAATGGTGGAGAGAACATTGAAGAAGGTTCAGAGGTTTTTGATTTTTGTGATACAGGGGATGGAACCCAAGGCTTTGCAAATGCTAGACCGTCTAGACCCTCTGTTCTGCTCCTGGGCTACCTCCCCAGCCCTGGCAAGTTTTTTGTCAGGACATAGTCTTGTGACCAGCTGTAGCTGTTGACTACATTTCTGGGGAATGAAGCCACAGACAGCATTTTTTAAAAAGCCTTCTCAGGGGATGCCAGTATACCCTGAGCAGACAGGGGCTATTGCTCCTTTTATATTTTTCTTGATTCTTGCAAACATTTTGGCATGCATGTAATATACTAGTGCTAGATATGTATGATTAAATACATATACAGCCTGTACATGTTTAGGGGATTTCCCAGAATTCTATTAATAAGCATATTTGACCAAAACCAGTTGGTACACAGTCCAGGAGAAAATGAGACCATACATCAAGTAGGTCGCCTGCCTTCTAGAGAAGGCTCAGGTCCGGTTGTGGCAGTGGAAATGTCCCAGATGGTTGTTGGGATACAGACCCGCTGACTCAACTGCATTCTCAAAACTGTGAAAGTGGCCCTGGCTAGAGATGCCATCAGAGTTCAGGAAGTCACACAATTCCTGCTCCCCTTGCCACTTACTCCTTCTCTACCTGCTTCTGCGGGGAGGTGAAGTAAGAACCTGCAGCTTGGGTCTCCGTGTGCTCAGTCTTTTTCTTTTTGTTCCCCTTATTTCAGAAATTGTTGCCAAGGTCAGAGAAGTCTCCCAACCCAACTGGACACCTCCCCCAGAAGTCACACTTGTGTTGACCAAAGAGAACTTTGATGAAGTCGTGAATGATGCAGACATAATTCTGGTGGAGTTTTATGCCCCATGGTGAGATGGGGGTCTTCAGTTTCGTGCTACTAAGATGCTGATTTATTCAACACCCTGCTGGGCTTGGGTGGAGGGTGCAGTGCAGGTGGAGGCCAAGGTACCAGGTATTCTGGAAGAGGGGAGTTCATAATGGTGCCACCAGGGGAGTGAGTATGGAAGGAAACAGGTAATCAAGGAAAGAGATACCAGAAAGAAAGTGGGGGAGAGTTCATGCAGCAGATCAGTGAGGTTCCCAAAAGCTTGTGGACCAAAGTGGCTGCTGTCATCAGGCTTCATGGGGGTGGGGAAGGGGCATGACCAATTATAAGGATATCCCAGGAAATAGGATGGGGCGACAAAGTGGACAGAGCAAATCGGAAGGAAGACTTTTCAAAGGTGAATGAGTGTTCCTGCAAGAGGGCCATTGGCCTTCTCAGGAGGTGACCTGAGGCACTTGGTGAGTTTGTCATGGGTCAATCAGTGCTTCTGATTCTCGAGCAGTTCTAACAGTTGTCAGGATATGTCCTGTGGATCAGGGTAGAGGCCAATAAATGGCAAATCAGGAAAGTGACTATCAGGCCAAGAAGAGTGGCCTCAAGTGGCTGTTCTGTGGATGAGTTCCAGGGAGTTGATGGGGAGAGGAAGTGTGTGTGCCTAGAATCAGCAGGTGGAGGCTGTGCCTGGTGCACAGTGAAGGGCCAGGGCTCCCAAGCTCTAAATTGAGACTTTCTGGGTTCTGTAGGAAAAATCACTGCACCTAGTCATGGGATGTGCAAATACAGTGAGAATACAGAGGAAAACAAATTGGGAAGAAGGGAAGAAATGCCTTGGTTGGTGAGCAGGCAGGCTGTGACCCTCGCCCCCTTAACCCTCCAGTGATGCTGGGAGATGCTGGCCCTTGTCCTGCTACAGAAGTGGCCCTGGCTTGGTTGGGGAGTGGGAAGAGGAAGAGCAACCGGACATTGCACCTATGGGTTGTTTTAGGGATTCTGATTTGCAGCCATTCAGGAGCCAGGTGCAGCAGACCGTTGCCCGTGCTGGGTGTATGTGGTGCGGTTTGTTTGGTTTTTGATACCTTGGAGGACATTTATCCTTCTACTTGCAAATAGTTTCCATGTTGCAGGGGCAATCCTTCAGGTTTTTTGGGTGTCCTAAAGGCCAGGGCAAGACAGTGTTTAACTGAGGATCGAGAGCCTGTAACACATGAGGCCCTGGCTACGCAGGTGTTGGCAGGTCATGTGGTATAGACGGGCTGAGTTTCACACAGCAGCCTGAGTTCCTCTGACTCACGCCTGTCTTCTCCTGCCCTGGTTTGCTTGGTCACACTCTTCATCCTTTCCATGTCTCTGTGATGTCGTTACCTCGTCCCGCATGCACACTCTGGTTCACAGATGCCATGCAGGAAGCTCACATCTTCACCTCCTGGTTTCTCCCAGGGCCCTGGCTCAGTGCCCACACCTAGGAGACATTCTGAGGTTTACTGGATGCACCTGAGTTGCTTGGGTACACTGGATTAGTTTCTGCACCTCATTTAGCTGGGAGTTGAGTCCACACTGGGGCAGGCCCCTGACAGAACTGGCTTCCCCTTGGCAGGTGTGGACACTGCAAGAAACTTGCCCCTGAGTACGAGAAGGCCGCCAAGGAGCTCAGCAAGCACTCCCCACCAATTCCACTGGCAAAAGTTGATGCCACTGCAGAGACGGACCTGGCTAAGAGGTTTGATGTCTCTGGCTACCCTACCTTGAAAATTTTCCGCAAGGGAAGGCCTTTTGAGTACAATGGACCACGAGAGAAATATGGTACGGCCACGTCCTTTCCTCACCCCGTGGTGGGGCGAGCCCCATGATAGAGGGGTAGTGTGGGCCACTCCAAAAGCCCCTCCTCAGGTGTGTGCTTTCTCCCCAGGGATTGTTGACTACATGATTGAGCAGTCCGGGCCTCCCTCCAAGGAGGTTCCAACCCTGAAGCAGGTCCAGGAGTTCTTGAAGGATGGGGACGATGTTGTCATCATTGGGGTCTTTCAGGGAGAAAGTGACCCAGCCTACCAGCAATATCAGGATGCTGGTAAGTACTGGCCCGCTGTGCTGAACAGCATGCATAAGCCCTTCCAGGAGATCGGGGCTATCAAAATGAGCAAAGTGTGTTTTGTACAAAACTCAAGGGTCATCACAAAGGAGGTGGCTGGATGGTTGACTGGGGTAGCATATGTGGGAATGAGCCTTCCACCTGGGGCTGGGGCTGGGTTGGTTGGCCTTCCTTGCACATGGATGGTAGGATCACATACTAAATGGGGGAAACTAGTTGTGCCATCATCCCCCTGGCCTCTGAGCAGAGGGGAGGGCACATCATACTCATCCAAGTGTCTGCCTTCCCTCTTCCTTACCCCTCTGTAGGAGGGAAGGCTCTGACCATAAAGCAAGGGCCTCAGACCTGGGTTCAAGTTACTAACACCGTGGCCACAGGTCCAAGGCTGTCATCTTTACTACTCCCCCAGAAGTTGTCAGATCATTTGGAAAAATGTAGATGAAGTGCTTTACAGAGTGCCTGGCAATATGAAGTGCGCTCCAGATGGCACCGCAGGACAGTCTTGCTGTCCTGAGTAGTGAAGTGATGGTAGACAGCTGTCAGCAGCCATGCTCTATGAGGGTGGGGACAGGTGGCATCACCACATCTTGAAATCCATTCTGCCGAGGCCCGGCTCCTGGTGCCTGGGGACCACATACAGGCCTTCCTCTCCATCCTTACTACTTTCCTGAGGCCTTCTCCCCTCCATATCTCAGGCAGCTTGGTTTTCTACTTCCAAGTGCTTATTATCATCTTTTTTAAATTCAAAACTCACCATGGCACAATAACAAGTATGCATACATTGAGTGGATTAATGTTGTAATAAAACTTAGAGTAGAACTAAATTTGATTCATGCTTCCTCAGTCTTTGTTGGTTAGGTAACCTTGCCATTCATTCTAGACTTGTCAGTTAGGAAGAAACTTGCAGGGGGAACCCCAGCCTCCCCAGGGCTTTTGCTGAGTGCTAATGAACTGCATTCAGGCTGCAGCTCCCCATTTAGGAGGCTAGGGTGAAACCCCCACCAAGAACCCCAGGTGGAAACTCGGTGTAAAGTCCTAGGCATGTGTGATGCTGCACTGCACACAGATGTGACATGCTGTTGGCCTCAGTGCTGCTATGCTGCTCCTTGTCACGGATGGTGGGGTTTAAGCTCAGGTATTGTCCACAGAATTTTTTGGTTTAGTCACGTTTTTTAGGGTGTTTGCTTTGGCTGGTATGGGTAACGAATTAAACTTCATTCATTTTAGCAGTTTAATAAATTGCATTTTATTGTATTGTTAATTTGTCAGCCAACAACCTGAGAGAAGATTACAAATTTCACCACACTTTCAGCACTGAAATAGCTAAGTTCTTGAAAGTTTCCCTGGGGAAGTTGGTCGTAATGCAGCCTGAGAAATTCCAGTCCAAATATGAGCCCAGGAGCCACGTGATGGATGTGCAGGTGAGCAGGGGCTCTGCCTGGGCACCCAGCAGGCATGAGCATCTGGGGTTGGAAGCATGGCAGGAGTTTTGCCCTGTTCGCTGCATCTGGAGTGCCTTTCCCAGCCCGCTCTTCCCACCCCACTGTTGGCCTGAAGGCACTGGTGGGAAGCTCAGCCAGGTGGCTCAGGGACCAAGTTTGCAGGAGGGATGGGGCTGGGGCACCACATACCTGGCAGGTCATAAGACCTAAGGCCCCAGTGAGGCTCCTTCTGCTTTTGCCAAAGCAGTTGTTCTCTCTATACCTCCTGGCAGGTAGGCTCTTATCTCCTTTGGTGCCCATGCAATGGTGGGTTTGGTCTGGATGTGCTGGGGCAGAATTGAGCCTTATTTGCTGGGAGGTGGTTTGGGTACCGAGGCTGTCATGCCCAGTGGGCCCTTCCCCTTCCCTGGGTGGAGCTGGTCAACTTGGCACATGTATTACCTCTTTGCATGCTAATCTAACTAAAAAGTTTTTTACCATATAGTTCTGGGTGGCTTACCAGCTCAGGGTGAGCCTGGGTCCAGCTCGGCATTCCCCAGGTTTCTGCAGATAGATCTGGTTTGGAGAGGATGGCAGCTCTGAAGCTTTTAATTAGCAGAAACTGGCGAGCAGAGCACGTGCTCCTGCCCAGGGCCCACAGCAGCTGAAGTACAGCAAGATGGAGTGCAGGTGTTCTGGGCTGAGCTGGCCCCATGCACCTTTCTCATTAGGCTCTAGGCTCTCAGGTCCTAAAGGAGGAGAGAACAAGGCGAGGTGAGCAAGCATGTAGGGAGCAGCCACAGAGACTGGGGTATGACGGAGCCCAGAGAGGCTGCGACTGTCCTGAGTCTGTCTGGTTCCTCGTACTCCCCTATCCTCAGATCCCTTGGTTCCTTTCTTAGACTGCATGCCCACCCCATCCATTTCTCAACCCACATGAGGCTCAGGACCCTCTTCCCTGAACTTGGGACAGCTGCTGTGACTCTTCCCTCCCACTTCTCTTCCTTTCATCCAGAGACCTGCACCCCATGGAAAGAGGGACCCTTTAGGCGGGTGTGGACCCCAGGAATCAGGCATATAGCCCTATGTGGTCATGCATGTTCCCAGGAAAGGGTCTTTAGCATTTAGTACATTCTTTAAGGGGTTCTTGACCCCAGAAAGCTTCATCAGTGTGATTAGTCTGCTAAGCCTGTCCCTGCTGCTCTGCTCCTTGATCCCCTCCAGAGCACTCCTTTCCTGCTTTTCCAGCACATTTCACCCATCCAGTACATCAGACCAGATCCTCTGGGCACCTCACCCTGTCTCTGCCCTTTCCCACCTGGCAAGGCCCTCCTGTCCTTCAACGTCACTAAGGACCCCTCCCTGGCCACCCCATCCAGGTGGGAATTGTGGGTCCATGGGGTTCACCCACCACTTCCTATCTGTACAACCTCGGGCAAACTGGTTGTGCCTCAGCTTCTCCAGCTATCAAGTAGACATGGCAGTGCCCACCTCTGTTTGTTGTGAGGGTGATATCTATGAAGGGCCCAGTAAAAAGGGAAAGTCCTCACTGAGAACCTGGAGACACCCAGTCTGAGCTGTGTCTTCATTGCAACTGCCACTGTGCCCAGCTAGTCACAGATACCATGTAAATGTCATCAAGACATTCCACCTGGGAAACTTCACAAGCCATCCTTAAAGGCCACAGTGCTGAGCTGTCTGCAGGCACAATGTCCCAGAGAATAGGGGTAGTCTCAGCCGCTGAGCACCTCACCCCCACACAGCTTTGACTCCACATTCTAATCTGAGGTTACATCTTGCCAAATATAAGATGAATCTCATAGGCTCTTGTGAAGATAGTTGAGCTGAAGATGGAAAGTTCTGCACTATCAGATCATATTGGTGGCTGTTGTCATTGGAGAGCCACACCTTTCTTGAAAAGTTCCTCACTGGGCCTGGCCTTGCCTGAGAAGTGCACTAGTATTGACAAGCAGGCAGTTACTGGGGTATGCTTGAATGGGGACAAACCCAGAGTGTTTGATCCAAGGACCACTGCCCCTCCCCCATGCAGAAGCTCTTTAAGACAAACATCTGTTAGCAGTGACAGTAAAAGATATGCTAGCTAATCCCTTTTTTTGTTGGGCCACTCTTACCTGTGGCCTCTTCAAAACAGGGTTCCACTGAGGTGTCAGCCATCCAGGACCATGTGGTGAAGCACGCTTTGCCCTTGGTGGGCCATCGCAAGACCTCCAACGATGCCAAGCGGTACACCAAGCGCCCCCTGGTGGTTGTCTACTACAGCGTGGACTTCAGCTTTGATTACAGAGCTGGTGAGGGACCTGCCAGACCCATCCGGAGCCATAGGGCTCACTCAGAATCCTGCCTTGGCCTAGGCCTCGCAGGTTAATGGTGCACATGTAGTTTTTACTAAGGGCTTCAGTGTCTTCAGGGTCACTTTCCCTTTCCCTTCTCTTTCTAGCAAGAAGGGAGCATAGTCGATTGGGGCCAGCACCCTCTTGGAGGTGAGGCTACAGTCAGGACTGGGCCACCTTGGCTCCAGACACTGATGTGACATCTGGGCACGGGTCTTCTGGGGCTTGCTGGGCTTGCAGCCCCCGACCACCTGCCCACAGTGGGGCTCGCTCTTTCAGGTTTGCTTTTTCTCCAGTTGAGGTGTATCTGGGGCTTGTGTGTTGTCAGAGAGTGTTAGTGACAGTCTTAAACGTCACCTCAGGCTCTAAGCTAGATATAGGTGCCCAGCCAGCCAATCAGCTCACAGCCTGGTCCATTTCAGCTACTCAGTTTTGGCGAAACAAAGTCCTGGAAGTGGCTAAGGACTTCCCTGAGTACACCTTTGCCATTGCTGATGAGGAGGACTACGCCACAGAGGTGAAGGACCTGGGGCTCAGCGAGAGTGGGGAGGACGTCAATGTGGCCATCCTGGATGAGAATGGGAAGAAGTTTGCCATGGAGCCAGAGGAGTTTGATTCTGACACCCTGCGGGAGTTTATCACAGCTTTTAAAAAAGGTGAGCTGGGGCTGAGCTCTCCCCTCAGGTGGAACACAGAACCTGGGCAGCCGTGGGGTGTCCGATGCTGCACATGCGCAAGAGGCCAGGAGAGTCCACGGGCAGCCTCTGCCCACTCCGATTCCCATTCCCAATCCCGCTCGCTCGCTCCCTGACTTCCTTGTCTGGGGAAGGACCAGCTGTGACCTAAACACCAGGACACTAAGAACACATAGAAGTTTTGGGACATTTGGGAGGGTTTTGTTTTTGATTTTTTTTTTCTTTTGGCAATTTTTTTTTTTTTTTTAAATTGGGGATTGTACCCAGGGGCTCATACCACTGAGCTATATCCCCAGCCCTTTTTGTTTTGAGACAGGGCCTAGTTACTGAGGCTGACCTCAAACTTGGGATCCTCCTGCCTCAGGCTTCCAAGCAGCTGGGATAACAAGGTGTGTCACCATGCCTGGCAACAAGAGAACTTTATTTATTTGGCTGTACTGGCGGTGGAACCCAGGGCCTCATTCAGGCTAGGCGGGTGTTCTACCACTGAGACACATCCCCAGCCCTCTTCCATTGTTTGCTTTAGATGCAAAAGCAAGATTTGGGAGAGCATCTTAGGGCTTACTTAGCATCAGCCTCCAGAAGCTAAAAGTCAGGTTTTGAGCAGGGGTACGCAGAGGCAGCCTGGAAAGATGAATTCAGGTAATGCCTCTGGGGACTTCAGAGCCTCTTTTTTGTCAGCCACTTGTTCTAATGAGCCTGACCTTGGTTTTCCCTCCTGGATCTGGAGAAGAGAGGCTAGAAACATCCGAATTGGGTGGGCCTTGGAAATTTTAAGAAGCCTTTTCTAGAAAATCTTTTTTATTTTTTTTTTTAAGAGAGAATTATTTTATTTTTTGGCAGACACAACATCTTTGTTTGTATGTGGTGCTGAGGATCGAACCGGGGCCACACGCATCCCAGGCGAGCGCGCTACCGCTTGAGCCACATCCCCAGCCCTCTTTTTTTTTTTTTTTAATATTTATTTTTTAGTTGTAGTTGGACACAATATTTTTATTGAATTTACTTATTTATATGTGGTGCTGAGGATCGAACCCAGGGCCTTGCACGTGCTAGGTGAGTGCTCTACCACTGAGCCACAACCCCAGCCCCTCTAGAAACTCTTTAAAATAAGCTTTTGGATTTAGGAATAAGTTTCATGTGTGTAGAAAACCTAATTTGAAGTCTAAATGATGTTCTTGATTGATATGTTGAGTGAGTTGCCCAATCCCAGCCACAGGATGGTGGCTCACCAGGGAACCTGTCCACTTTCTTCATACTGCTCCCTGTGTGGCTTTCAGGTCCTCAGTGCCAGTGCTCTGTAGCTCCTCTGCACTGGGCAGCATCTCTGGATACTCTTAATGGATAAGGCCTAGTGGCCCATTAGGCCTGGGGTAGGGTGGACATGCACCTTCACTGGCTTGTTCTGGGTCTAGGGGAATAAGAGATACGTGTTAACTATAGCAGCGCCCATTGCTGGGGTCAGGTTTGGGGGTTAGGTCCTCCTGTCCCTAGTAGTGTGACTGACCACCAGCAGTATTCACCCTTTCCTGCTCACTGAGCTGCCTGGCTGCTGGGGCCAGGGTCCTTCAGCACTGACCCTTCTCCCGGGCTTGGCTTTCCTTGGCAGGGAAACTAAAGCCAGTCATCAAATCCCAGCCGGTGCCCAAGAACAACAAGGGGCCTGTCAGGGTGGTTGTTGGGAAGACCTTCGACAGCATCGTGATGGACCCCTCGAAGGACGTGCTCATCGAGTTCTACGCACCCTGGTGTGGGCATTGCAAGCAGCTGGAGCCTGTCTACACTAGCCTGGCCAAGAAGTACAAGAACCAGAAGAACCTGGTCATCGCCAAAATGGACGCCACCTCCAATGACATCGCCAGTGACCGCTACAAGGTGGATGGCTTCCCCACCATCTACTTTGCTCCTGGAAAGGACAAAAAGAACCCAATTAAATTTGAGGGTGGAAACCGAGACCTGGAACATTTAAGCAAATTTATAGACAAACATACCACAAAATGGAGCAGGACCAAGGAAGACCTTTGAAGGCTGGAAGTCTGCAGAGGGTGGGAGGAGCTAGACACTGTAGTGGCCAGTGGCCACCGAGTAAGCCTTGAGGCCAAGGCCATCAATGTAATGGTGGTATCTCAACTTTTTTCTTTTTTTTTTTTTTTTATTTTTTATACTTTGATATGTCACCTCGTGCTCAGAATACTGAATAGCCATGAATGCAGTAGCTTAGGCCAGATTTCTATGGAGGATACATCTATTTTTATCATTTGGGGTCTGATTTTTTTTTTTCTTTTAACATTTTCTCAAAGCAGATAAGTTGAATCTCTGTGAGAATGTTTTCTTTTTTAATTTAAAGATTCAAAAAAACTGCCAAATCATGTCGAGCTTGCCTTTTATCATGTTTGAGGAATTGTTAGTTTAAGATGTGACTGTTGGTATGTTTTAGTTTTCTTCCTGTGTTGGCACAGAAGTGAGTGCTGTCACCAAGCACTTGCCCAGAACAATGTTCCAGCCTGACCTCCCAGCAGCCTGCAGTCCAGCAAGTGGCACTGTACGGACATTGCCGTCCTACTGTTCCACCTCCTGTCATAGCCTGGGCCACGGTTGGAGGATCATGGCCCCATCCCCAGCTCAGACCCTCTGATGGAGCAGAAGTGTCCCTGGACACAAGACACTTTGAGGTCGTAGAAAAAGTAGGATATAGTCAGGTGGCGCACACCTGTGATCCCAGCAACTCAGGAGGCTGAGGCAGTAGGATGGCAAGTTTAAGGCCAGTCTGGGTAACTCCGTGAGACTGTGTTTCAAAATAGAAAATTTTAAAAGGCCCGGGACAGAGGTGCTGGGGCTATAGTGCAGTGTAAAGCACCTCTGGGGCCAGTCGCCAGGATCAAAAGAGAAATGGGGTTGGGTTGCATAATGGGATTAAAAAGTCACTAAAAATTAACTTGAGTAACTCTGTTAGAAAATACCTTCTCTGTTCTGCAAGCATTAGGGTTGAATGGTTTGATGGAGCCTGCACCTGGTGGATGGGCTGTCCAGCCGAGTACATGTTATCTCACCTGACCCTCAAACCCCAAGGGGGCCACCCTGTCCTAGGGCAAGAGGGTTCATTGCTTAAAATAGGTGAGCAGTGGCAGATTGTCACGCTGGGGAGGGGCAGGCAAGGAGAGGGTGCTCTCAGGCCTGGGGAGACTCTCCATCTCCCCACTCTCTCCCCTCCACCCTGGTGCTTACCTTCTGACTGACAGAAACTAGAGAGGCACCTCTCTGAGCAGTGACTGGGCTGATGGCAGGTGGAGGGCGGGGGCAGGAGGCAGGTCTCACAGGAAGCTGGGCTTTTTCAAGTTGTCTGTTGCTCAGTTGTTTGGCTGAGGCAGACTGAGTGTGTGGATGGGCGCAGAGACTGTCCAGGTCTCCAGAGCCATGAGCCTGCTGCCCCGCTTTTCTCTGGGCTGGGCTGCCTCAGGGTTGTAGGACTGGCACAGAAGTGAGTGTCCAGAGACCTGTCCTTGGAGGGAAAGTCACTCGGCACTGTCCCAGGGGAGCAGAGTGGCTCCTGCCCTTGCAGGGCCCCCAACTTGTGCCAGCAGGAGGTGGCCTCTGCTCAGCTGAGGTCTGGGGGCCTTTCTGACATGGCTTAATCTGAAACTCAGCAATGATTGGCTGGAGCCAGGCAGAAAACAGGGCTAGGTCCTGGACCTCCACTTCAGATGGCTGGTTGGTTTTCAGAAATGCAGCATTTCAGGCCAGCTGGTCCTACTGAACCAGTCAGGAGAGTCACATACGCACTATATTCTAGAAACAGGAGTAAATCAGTGTTGTAGGCATAGGCAGACTCCTCTTCCAGGGCCCAGGGGGCAGGATCTCTAGGATTCTGAGGCTGATCAGATACTGAGGTTAGGTGAGTGGATCTGATAAGCCTTGCTTGAATTGAGGTGGTTTGTTATTTAATTATGAAACTTTCAACATGAATCAGTTGGGTGCCTACTGGATATGAGGGACTGGGCATCTATTGTTTACCAAAGCCTTAATCCCAGCTGGTTGTACTATTGAACTATGTGAATTTAGGCAAGTTACTTAGCTTTCTTGAGTTTATTTTCCCATCTGTGAAATAAAGCTACAACCTTCACAGAGTATTTGTAAAGCTGAAGTAGATACATGTGCATGGGGCTTAGTGTGATCCTGGTTATGTGGTACCCATGGGTG